CAGGTATACACAGATACAGTTATAATTATGATACATAGCAGCATATGTGTAGAGAACCTGGGATAACCCAAAAAAGCCAGACAGAGTGACTTATTTCCATTGGCATTTTATTTAGGTACTATTCATGAGGAGGCAATGTTATACAGGTGTTTTTTAGTATAAGAATTGATGGAAATAAATGGTATAAAATACCGACACAATGGAAATATAAACACAAATGCAGTATAATGTGATCCTTTATTGACAACGTTTCACCCACACAGTGGGCTTTTTCAAGTCACACACGGATCTACCTGGGGTTGGAAGGTACGAGAGTATTTATAGTCATGTTCAGAGTGTTGAGGTCAGGTGGAGAATGCTGCATCTGATGATCTACCGGGTGGGGTTATAGAGTCTTGGGTAGCTTGGCAGGGGTATTGGACATAAGAACATAGAACACTGCAAAAGGTCTACAACTTGTCCAATACCCCTGCCAAGCTACCCAAGACTCTATAACCCCACCCAGTAGATCATCAGATGCAGCATTCTCCACCTGACCTCAACATTCTGAACATGACTATAAATAATCTCGTACCTTCCACCCCAGGTAGATCCGTGTGTGACTTGAAAAAGCCCACTGTGTGGGTGAAACGTTGTCAATAAAGGATCACATTATACTGCATTTGTGTTTATATTTCCATAAGAATTGATAAAAGTTTGACCCTAGGCACATTGTGGCCAAGCAGCATGCATGTGCTTATTCTGTGGGTTTAATGAGTCTCTGAAAGTAAATTTGGACATAATCTCATGAGCCACATTAATTAATCGAACAAGCTGCATTTCAGTCAGGCATGGCACATTGTGTACCTACTTTAGATATGCGCATGTACATAATTAACATTTTTTATTTTAGAATTTTGTGATACCCAAATTCAAATGCTTGCCATGTTTTTTAAATAATTTTTTTGTGAACATTATTGGATTAACAAAAAATGGTAATGGAATTATACAGGCCCTTTTATTATAGGGCTATTTTATGGTCACTGTGCAAGCATTTTGTGATAGTGTTGGTTTTAGCTGGATAAGTATTGTTCAACCCCCGTGTGTCAGCATAGTTGCTGATCCCCACAGGGAAGTGTCCTTGGCCCTCTTCTCTTTCTCCTATACATAAATGACCTTCCAAATGCTTCAAAATTACTCAAACCCACACTATTTGCAGATGACACTACATATGTCTTCTCTCACCCGAGCCCAGTCACGCTAGCCAATACTGTAAATACCGAATTACAGAAAATATCTACCTGGATGAGGACTAACAAACTTACACTAAACATTGACAAAACCTACTTCATTCAGTTTGGTAACAGAGCTACAGATGTCCCTCTTAACATAATGATAAACAGATCACCTATCACAAAGCTAACAGAGGGAAAATTCTTAGGAATCCACCTATACACATATACAACAAATTTCTAAGAAAATTTCCAAGACTGTAGGCATACTATCGAAGATACGGTACTATGTTCCACAGTCAGCCCTCCTGGCCCTATATCACTCTCTTATTTACCCCTATCTCACCTATGGAATTTGTGCATGGGGCTCAACAACAATTAACCATCTCAGACCACTAATTACCCAACAAAAGGCTGCAGTTAGAATGATAACAAATTCTCACTACAGGCAGCACACTCCACCAATATTCAATATACTAAACCTACTCACCATACAAAACATCCATACTTATTACTGCACCTATTACATACATAGAACACTTAACTCTGATATTAACCCTCCCCTCAAACATCTCCTTGCCAACCTCAACAGAACACATGACCATAACACAAGGCACAGATCACTCTTTGATGTTCCTCGTGTCCATCTCACACTATGCAAAAACTCAATGCACATAAAAGGCCCTAAAATCTGGAATTCATTACCTGTAAATATAAAAGAAACACTACCTGTTTATAAATTCAAGTCTCTTATCAAAGATCACTTACTCACCCAAAACCAAATAAATACTGAATAACTGAACCTTATAAATTGTATATCTTAAATGTTTCTCAAAATTATATCACATAAATGTTAAACCTAAAACCCAATCTAACTTTATTATTTTTTAAATACACTACCTAACAGAATCCTTCATATGACTGAATTCAACCATATGACCTGTCTTTGTAATACTCACTTGTGCTTTATAGTTATCTGTTACATTAATGTTTTATAAACTGATTTCATCATTGCTTAGTTAATCTTAAGTAAATTTTAAGCCAGCCCGTAATGCTATGCATAGTATAAGTGGCTTTGGCATACTGCTCTTATCTGTATCTTTTTGTACCTCTGTATGTGTGCTCAAATTGGAAATAAATAAATAAATAAATAAATCCATGTGCCTTAGAAGGAGATCCCTTGTAGGCCGTGATTTGTGTACCACGGATGCGTGTGTGTAGACTGGTAGACTCTCCTGCCCCTCACTCGGGCGCACCATCCTTTAGTACAATACAACACGTCAAGGCACGTGGGCTCCTTCCACTCATCTTATTTGACAATATAGTAACCAGGGGCAACAGTGTACCTTCAACCTCGATATCCCATTTAAGAACCCCTTACGAAAAATGGTGGCATTCGGAGCCTGTAATTCTGACGATACAGCGATTTCTGAGATAAATTTCGACCAGCAAACGGCCATTTCTGTCATCAGTAGGCCTTACTAGGTTTAATGCCAGCCTGCTACCTCAAGCCAGTTCTCCCACCCAAGCTCTTTACCAGCTTCTACCCATTATTCACTGTCAGTCCTCCTTGTATTAGTGTTTATCTGCTTATTTGCATCACTCCCGAGGGGTTGACCCGAGTTTGCAAAATAAGCCAGCTTCCAGTCTGTGGTGAGGAAACCCAGTCGAGCCTAGTCTACCCATCCAGTTTTTTGCCTGCAAGCCAGCATTCCACCTCTGCTGTGCTCATCGTGGTGAGTTATCAAGCTACTGTGTGAAGTAAGAAAGCCAGCTAGCAACTAACCCAGGTGTCTTACCCCAGTACTGCTCCCCTCAAGGAAGGTTCCTTGATGTTGGTGAGGGGCTCTTGATTATAATAATGTGCCTTGCATACTCAAGGAAGGTTCCTTGATGTTGGTGAGGGGCTCTTGATTATAATAATGTGCCTTGCATACTCAAGGAAGGTTCCTTGATGTTGGTGAGGGGCTCTTGATTATAATAATGTGCCTTGCATACTCAAGGAAGGTTCTTTGATGTTGGTGAGGGGCTCTTGATTATAATAATGTGCCTTGTATACTCAAGGAAGGTTCCTTGATGTTGGTGAGGGGCTCTTGATTATAATAATGTGCCTTGCATAATCAAGGAAGGTTCTTTGATGTTGGTCAGGGGCTCTTGATTATAATAATGTGCCTTGCATACTCAAGGAAGGTTCCTTGATGTTGGTGAGGGGCTCTTGATTATAATGTTGCCTTGCATACTCAAGGAAGGTTCCTTGATGTTGGTGAGGGGCTCTTGATTATAATAATGTGCCTTGCATACTCAAGGAAGGTTCCTTGATGTTGGTGAGGGGCTCTTGATTATAATTGTGCCTTGCATACTCAAGGAAGGTTCCTTGATGTTGGTGAGGGGCTCTTGATTATAATAATGTGCCTTGCATACTCAAGGAAGGTTCCTTGATGTTGGTGAGGTGCTCTTGATTATAATAATGTGCCTTGCATACTCAAGGAAGGTTCCTTGATGTTGGTGAGGGCTCTTGATTATAATAATGTGCCTTGCATACTCAAGGAAGGTTCCTTGATGTTGGTGATGGGCTCTTGATTATAATAATGTGCCTTGCATACTCAAGGAAGGTTCCTTGATGTTGGTGAGGGGCTCTTGATTATAATAATGTGCCTTGCATACTCAAGGAAGGTTCCTTGATGTTGGTGAGGGGCTCTTGATTATAATAATGTGCCTTGCATACTCAAGGAAGGTTCCTTGATGTTGGTGAGGGGCTCTTGATTATAATAATGTGCCTTGCGTACTCAAGGAAGGTTCCTTGATGTTGGTGAGGGGCTCTTGATTATAATAATGTGCCTTGCATACTCAAGGAAGGTTCCTTGATGTTGGTGAGGGGCTCTTGATTATAATAATGTGCCTTGCATACTCAAGGAAGGTTCCTTGATGTTGGTGAGGGGCTCTTGATTTAGGGAATTGGATCTGTGCTCCAGTTCCCCGAATTAAGCCTGAATGCCTTCCACATCCCCCCCCCCAGTCGCTGTATAATCCTCCGGGTTTAGCGCTTCCCCCTTGATTATAATAATAATAATAATCTGAGCCCGGCCCCTCAAGGAAGGTTCCTTGATGTTGGTGAGGGGCTCTTGATTATAATAATGTGCCTTGCATACTCAAGGAAGCTTCCTTGATGTTGGTGAGGGGCTTTTGATTTAGGGAATTGGATCTGTGCTCCAGTTCCCCGAATTAAGCCTGAATGCCTTCCACATCCCCCCCAGCACTGTATAATCCTCCGGGTTTAGCGCTTCCCCTTGATTATAATAATAATAATTACCCCAGTACTCAAGCAAGCCACGTGAGTAGTCTTCATCGCTTGTGATTCAAGCTCCAAGTCATCCTGAGTGCTCTTTTTCATCCTTGTGGTGTTGTAGTATTTCGTGGGTTTGTTTTTAAGCCAGTCAAGGCATGTGTTAGCCATTGCAGAGGAATTCGATCCTCCCAGAGATGATAACCATTCTGCATATGTAAACCTCACCCTCGCAGAATTGGGTTTAAATGTACATAGTCTGTATAACTAGATGTCCGAGATGAAGTAAATTGTCAACTGTTTGTTATTAACTGATTAGTTTTTTCAGAAATATATTTTTTTTTAACTGTAGTAGGTATCAGCATGCCTCTGGCAAGACGGTGAATGACGGAGTGAGTGTTGATGAAAATGTTTTTCCTGTTTTTGGGCGACCCTGCCTTGGTGGGAAATGGCCCATGTGTTAATAAAAAACAAAATGATTTGTGAATAGCGATAATATTTTTGGTAATTAATGTAATCCCTATTTTGACAGATGTCTCTTGAGAGGCTGGAACTCGATGTTGCACTGAAGCTGGCGTTTGTGCAGAACTCTCTCACCAAAGTGGAAGAATATCGCCAGCACCTCCAGGAAAATGACCAAAAAGTAATTTAAAGCTGTATATTTGATTGCAATCAAAAGTTTCACCATGTTGTACGTTATAGAACACGTTATTGGTCAATTAAATATATTACACTGTTGAGAATGGGGATAAAAATGTGTGTGTATTCACACATTTACACATCAGTAATCTATTTTTTTTTCATATTAATACAGAATTCCAATGTATTCTCTCCAAGTGTTTGCCACATATAATCGATAAATTAGACACATGTACAACTCTTGGGTATCTTTATTGAGGAAACGTTTCGCCACACAGTGGCTTCATCAGTCCATACAAAGGAGAATCTTGAAGAACAGGAGGAGAATGAGGTAATCAGTCCCTCAACCTTGAGTCGATGTGGTCAGTCCATCAATCTTGAATAGATGGACTGACCACATTGACTCAAGGTTGAGGGACTGATTACCTCATTCTCCTCCTGTTCTTCAAGATTCTCCTACGTATGGACTGATGAAGCCACTGTGTGGCGAAACGTTTCCTCAATAAAGATACCCAAGAGTTGTACATGTGTCTAATTTATCAACATGTCGGTTCTCTGAACCATTCATCTACAAACCACATATAATCGGTGAAGGGCTGTTGATTCTAGAAGTTTGATCTGCTTTCTTCCTTGGGTCACACCTGAATGCCTCCCATTCCCCAGGCACTGTATAACCCCTACAGATTTAGTGCTGACCTAAGTGTAATAATATGTATTCATTGGCACTTCTTTTGAAAGGTTGTTTTGTTGCCTTAGTGCAGATTTGACCAAGCTGTGCACATGCATAAAACTGTGCAGTTGTTCATAATAGTTTTTTCTTTCTTGACTTGCTCTTGATGTTCAGAAAATCACTTAGTTTTTTGTTTTTTACCACGTTGCCAAACTATACAACTTTCTAAATGCACTAATACTTGGGGGTACCATATTTTACAATATGACTCCCACTTGTTAGGAGTACATAATTTCAGTGTGCAGTTCTGGAATTAGTCCCTCATTCTAGGTGCAGTTTTATAACTGTAGTGTAAGTGCACCTCTGGCAAGACAGTGATGGAGTGAATGATGGTGTAGTTTTTTTTTTTTTTTTTTTTTTGGGGGGGGGGGCACCCTACCTTGGTGGGAAATGACCAGTGTGTTAATAATAAAAAGAAAGATAATAAAATATGTTTAAGCTTTGCATTTTATGGATTACAATTTGAGGGATTTTGTAAGTCTGCCAATACTGTTCATCAGTAGTCCCCCAACCTTTTAGCATGAAAGGGCCAGTTTGCAGAGCCAAGTTTAAAGGATGGCTTCAGTTTCCAGTTTTCTTTTTTTATACATGTAATTATGTACACCAGAAGTGAAATGTGGTTATTAGAGATGGCAATAAGGTTTTGGTGTTATAAACGACATTAAATATTTTGTACTTGTTGACACTGCGCAGTGTGGAGCCTTTGTAAAAGTGAATTCTTGAAGGGCCATATGCAGCCCTTGGGCTGCATGCTGGGGACCCGTGCTGTACAGTCTTAGAAATTTTACTGAATACAGACAGAAGTTGTTATACAGTACATCTACCATGTTTGCAGTTTTGTATAATCACACGTGACCTCACGCAGTGTGGATCTGTTAGCAGAGAATTTTTCAATGAGCCTTTTTATTAATAGGGCCCAGATCAGCATATTCAGTACTGTACTGTTTTTGGGTGTTACTGGATTTTTTTCCCTTTTATGTCCTAATTTGCTTGTTCTGTATTTAGCCTCCCTTGTGTCTCAGTATAAAACTCTTGGAGCAGCCTGAAGGGGACTGTTAAATTGCTTTTATATTCCATGTGAATTTTAAACAAATGATGTGAGAATGTTGTTTCCTAGGAATACAAGAATTGATTGATTATAGATAAAATTCACTTCAGACTTGTTGCTATGAAGATAAAATGATAAGACAATTTATTGATTAAAAATTGCTTTTAGGTAGATATCCTTCTGTATTTTCTTGATTTTGTAACAAATTGACATACATATGAAATCAGTTTAAAGTTGGAGAGCGAAGCTATTGATTTGTACATTGCCAGCTTTGAATACTTTAATTAGGATATATTATGATTTTACTTTTGTAATATTTTTTCAAGGAAATTTGCTAGTGATCAAGTAATGTTGACTTGCATACTTTGGTGAGTTGCCTTGTTAATCAGAGATGTCTAATTTTCAGTTTCCAAATACAGCTATCTATTGCTCTTTTTTTTTTTAGTTGATCATTTATAACAACTTTGATACTTTTAATATAATATTGTTATAAAGTATAAGCTAAGCTTTGCTTATGAAATTTAAGTGTATTAATGTCGGTAGAATTACCGACATTGTTGGGTAAAAGGACATGAGTGCAATTAAGTGCTGATGTGATTGCAGGTAAAGGATGAAATCCACGAGATAGTGGAACGTCACATTGGAGCATTGAGAGGAAGGGAGCGACAGTTGGTACGGCAAGTGGAGGTGAGTTGAATATTTGGGATTGGGAGGGGAGGGATCCTTGAAACAATTTGGTATATTAGCTCATTAATAGATTATCTGACATTATGCCAGGTGACAGTTTGTTCCCTGGAAAGGCTGTAGAAAAAGTTAATTAACCTTAGGTATACAGTAGTAAATGGAAAAGCTACTCTCACTTGACACTATTAACTGTCACATTCTATGTGCGGTATTAAATTCATTGGACAGTTTCTGATCGGTGGGTATGTGACAGTGTATATTTTCAAGGAAGATTACATGACTACTTTGGAGCTCTTGATTCAAGTAATAGGAATGGACTTTCCTTTCTGTGGAGTGAACCTGATTGCATCCCATTCCATAGGTGCTACATGACCACTATGGGTTTAGCTCTCCCTATTAATGTAACTATTAATAAAATAATGGGAATATTTTGTATTAATGTTAGTTACACTATAATTTTAAATGCTTTTCTCAAACTATTGTTAACATTTCAGGTTGTTACAGCTCATCAGACTTGCCTGCTGGGAACTCAGCAAGCTGGGTTAATGCATGGTAAAGGAGCTCTCCTGGCTACACGAGATCTTCTCATGCGTTGCACTGAGGCTGATACTAGCACCCTTGAGAAGATTAAAGTGGATGATATGGATTGGTAAGTTGAGCAGTGTATGTGGGTTAAGGCTAATTTTGGGGAAGGGTCTGTTTCTCATCAGAGAAGGAAACCCATTTCTCTACTTGATATTGCTAAAGTGTGTAATTACTGGAATGTGTTGTTGATTCACATAGGTTAGACAACCCCCCATACATTTTAGAATGCAAGCACTGTACTTGTCCACAAAACTGGCTAGTCAGGTTTCCAGAATTCTTTCTTCACATTACAAATCATGTGAAATATCCATTCATAACTGCCGTCATTCACAGTGGTAGTGTGAGCAATGGTTGCCCTACCTCGGTGGGAGACTGCTAGTGTGCTGAATGTGAAAGCACTAAGGTCTCAACTCCTTTCTCATCCTTTGTTTCTGACCCCTTTTTGGGGCACCATTTATACCATTTTTCATTCCAGTGAATTTCAGTATTTTCATTAACCCTCTCCCCCCAACATCAGCCTTCTCCCACCCTAAAACAAAAAATTATAAAGTTTTCTCTTTTACATTTAGTAATTTATACAGGAGAGTTTCGTCAGTTGCATGCTTTCGGATTTAAGTAGTTGTCAAATTTTCTGCATTATTTTTACACTTCCATACATGTTTTGGACGAGCTTTTCATTGCCTCCAGTGATATTCTTGTCAGTAGTTAGTGTTCTTCACACGTATTCAAGTTTTTGGCATTACTATTGAATGCATTGCCGCTCCTGACATACCTGTGAACAGTTTTGAGGGTTTGTATTCTTTGTCAGTCTGGCTTGAGGCCAGGTTTCCATGTTGACTGTTTAGTCTAGGTTGTTTCTGCTAGCAGCTTACAGGCATACATAGACATTACAACCTGGCTGATCTGGCACCATTTTTGCATCAATTTACATACTGTACCTCTTTCCACAGACTTGCATACATTGCCTTGTTTCAATAAAAACATTTTTGGATATTTCTTTGCCTTTCTAGATCTCTTCTTTTATTGTAATTCATTCTTCCAATCACTTTATGAATTAGCTGCCTGCCCAACACTTTACCTGGAGTATTTAACAGAATTATGACCTTAAAATTCTCAGTATTTTTTTTTATCCTTACGTACAAAGGAACCACACTCACTTTGACTCGTTTTAGTCTCCGTCCCTTCTTGGACCTTTTTTTTTTTTTTTTTTTTTTTTTATACTTCAACGGCCATTGCACACTAAGGCAAGGTGACCCAAAAGAGGAAACACATTCACCATCATTAACTGTTGCCAGAAGTATGTCTGTTAAGATTCATGACTGTTCATCCTTTCAGGTCTCATTTGTAAGCACTTATTTTCTAGAACTTGTGATCCTCATGTCAGACTGTCTTTTTAATATAAACTTCAGTATTTCTTTTGTTATTGCTGCATTTATGGCTTGGTTTGTGAGCGCTTGTGAATTTTTTGAAAGAACATTTGCTCAAGAATTATTATTATTTTGTGTATCACGCTGGCTGTCTCCCACCAAGGGAGGGTGAACTAAAATAGACTAGTTATTTCTTTTTAAATTTAGTAATTTATACAGAAGGGGTTACTAGCCTTTTGCTCCTGGCATTTTAGTTGCTTCTTACGACATACATGACTTAAGGAGGAAGTACTCTGTACCACTTCCCCACGGAGATGATTATAACAAGTACAGGTGGGCCCTGCTTTACAGCATTTTTCTAATGCAGCAGTTTTCAGTTATACCCATTCTATATTTCTTCAGACTTCCCACAATAAATATATTAATTTTTTGTTCTTTGTTGGGTCCTTATTCATCCACATTAATTGCACATAGTGGGCAGTTCTTCTAAAATGTGGATTAGGTGGTCAGCAGCTTATTGTATTGGAGGTGAGGATTCCATTCTTATATTCTTTTGTAATGTGAATAACTTACAGCTTGAAGGATGTTGTACATGTGAAGCGTGTGGCAGTACAGTTGGACGAGACTGCACTCTGCTCTGCTATTTCGGAATTTGGTTCTGTCCAGCTGCCAGATGCTATCACTCACCACCCATCACCTGTCATCCCAGCAAAGTAAGTTCCCTATTTTTGTCAGATATATCCATGTTGTGGCTTTCAAGAAAAATACTTTGTGGATGCTGCTTGGCATTGGATGACAGCAGGGGCATTGTGGTTGTGGCAAGTTTGCATGTACTGTATACTCTTTTGAGTTTGGAACCTCATGTAGGGTTGTCAAGTATTTCTGGAGAGTTGCTAACTTAGAATTGAATAACGGTGCATATGTTTTGATAGCACTGTATATTTTTACATATTTAGATGCATACAATGAAATGGAGCAATGGTTTTGGTAATTTGTACAGGAGAAGGGGTTACCAGCCCCTTGCTCCTGGCATTTTAGTTGCCTCTTACAACATGCATGGCTTACGGAGGAATTCTTTTCCGCTTCACTATGGAGACGAGAGGAAATAAACACGAACAAGAACTATTAAGAAAATAGAAGAAAACCCAGATGGATGGATGGATGTGTGTGGGTGATTGTGTGTGCCTGTATGTGCATGTGTAGTGTGACCTAAGTAAGTAGAAGTAGCAAGATATATCTGTTATCCTGCGTGTTTATGAAAGAGAGAGAAGACACCAACAACCCTACCATTATGTAAAGCAATTGCAGGTTTCTGCTTTACACATATTTGGCAGGACAGAAGTATCTCCCTGGGTGGTTGCTATCTACTAACCTACTACTTGGGAATTTGTCAAATATCATTGCAAAATCTGTGTAGACCACATCTGTGTTTTGGTTATCTTCCAATGTCAGTGATGTAATGATCTGATATTTGTGACAGGCATGTTTTTCCTTCTCTAAATCCATGGAGAATCTGACCCAGATGCTGCATGCCTGAACATGTCATCTGCCTCTAAAGTTAGGAGTGGAATAAAAAAAAAATTGTCATTATTATACCATAGGAGGAAAATTGGTTAATAATTTATCCCTGCAATCCTTGTGGAGACTGTAATTCATACAGTAATTTATAAAACTCTTAATATCTTAAATTAACTTTCTTATTCTATGTCATACTTGTGAATACAGTGGTATGCCAAGTTCCGTTCAGCTCCCAACTCTAACAGTTATGTAAGTGTATTATTGTAAGTCCTTTTGTAGGTGTATTTTTGGGGGTCTGAAACGGACTAATCTAATTTATACATTATTCCTTTAGGGAACAAATTTATTTGGTAACGGCATTCAAACAGCTTTCTGGAATGAATTATTGCTGAAACTCGGGCTGTGTTATTGTGGCTTGTGCAAGTAGGAGGGCTCTGCTGTGCACAGCAGATGTATAAATCATTCTTCCTCTTTTATTTTCCGTGATATTTTGTATTTTGGATATGGTGTAATAGACTAGAAATCTGGTAATAAGTTTCTTGATCATTGGAACATGTTCAAACTATTTACATTTATTGTACATTGGGAAAACAAGCTGTATACATCTCTGATTCATCCTAATTGAGATGTATTATATCTTGTTTACTGAATATCTTTGTTATTTTCTAAATGCAAAATTAATGGATCAGGTGTGTGTACTAGGTGATATATTGACAGTGCAGCTCAAGTTGGAGGTTGTGTGTGCAATGGGCTTGGACATCCAGCAGGCATGAGAGTGAGTGTGTGTACTCACCTAGTTGTACTCACCTAGTTGAGGTTGCGGGGGTCGAGTCCGAGCTCCTGGCCCCGCCTCTTCACTGATCGCTACTAGGTCACTCTCCCTGAGCCGTGAGCTTTATCGTACCTCTGCTTAAAGCTATGTATGGATCCTGCCTCCACTACATCGCTTCCCAAACTATTCCACTTACTGACTACTCTGTGGCTGAAGAAATACTTCCTAACATCCCTGTGATTCATCTGTGTCTTTAGCTTCCAACTGTGTCCCCTTGTTACTGTGTCCAATCTCTGGAACATCCTGTTTTTGTCCACCTTGTCAATTCCTCTCAGTATTTTGTATGTCGTTATCATGTCCCCCCTATCTCTCCTGTCCTCCAGTGTCGTCAGGTTGATTTCCCTTAACCTCTCCTCGTAGGACATACCTCTTAGCTCTGGGACTAGTCTTGTTGCAAACCTTTGCACTTTCTCTAGTTTCTTTACGTGCTTGGCTAGGTGTGGGTTCCAAACTGGTGCCGCATACTCCAATATGGGCCTAACGTATACGGTGTACAGGGTCCTGAACGATTCCTTATTAAGATGTCGGAATGCTGTTCTGAGGTTTGCTAGGCGCCCATATGCTGCAGCAGTTATTTGGTTGATGTGCGCTTCAGGAGATGTGCCTGGTGTTATACTCACCCCAAGATCTTTTTCCTTGAGTGAGGTTTGTAGTCTCTGACCCCCTAGACTGTACTCCGTCTGCGGCCTTCTTTGCCCTTCCCCAATCTTCATGACTTTGCACTTGGTGGGATTGAACTCCAGGAGCCAATTGCTGGACCAGTTCTGCAGCCTGTCCAGATCCCTTTGTAGTTCTGCCTGGTCTTCGATCGAGTGTATTCTTCTCATCAACTTCACGTCATCTGCAAACAGGGACACCTCAGAGTCTATTCCTTCCGTCATGTCGTGTGTGTGTGTGTGTGTGTGTGTGTGTACTCACCTAATCGTACTCGCCTAATTGTGGTTGCAGGGGTCGAGACTCAGCTCCTGGCCCCGCCTCTTCACTGATTGCTACTGGGTCCTCTCTCTCTCTGCTTCGTGAGCTTTGTCATACCTCTTCTTAAAACTATGTATGGTTCCTGCCTCCACTACTTCACTTGCTAGGCTATTCCACTTGCTGACAACTCTATGACTGAAGAAATACTTCCTAACGTCCCTGTGACTCGTCTGAGTCTTCAGCTTCCAGTTGTGACCCCTTGTCCCTGTGTCCCCTCTCTGGAACCTCCTATCTCTGTCCACCTTGTCTATTCCCCGCAGTATCTTGTATGTCGTTATCATGTCTCCCCTGACCCTTCTGTCCTCCAGTGTCGTCAGTCCGATTTCCCTTAACCTTTCCTCGTACGACATTCCCTTGAGCTCTGGGACTAGCCTTGTTGCAAACCTTTGTACTTTCTCTAACTTCCTGACGTGCTTGACCAGGTGTGGGTTCCAGACTGGTGCTGCATACTCCAGTATGGGCCTAACATACACAGTGTACAGTGTCTTGAACGATTCCTTATTAAGGTATCGGAACGCTATTCTCAGGTTTGCCAGGCACCCGTATGCTGCAGCGGTTATTTGGTTGATGTGTGCCTCCGGTGATGTGCTCGGTGTTATGGTCACCCCAAGGTCTTTCTCCCTGAGTGAGGTCTGTAGTCTTTGTCCACCTAGCCTATACTCTGTCTGCAGTCTTCTTTGCCCCTCCCCAATCTTCATGACTTTGCATTTGGCTGGATTGAATTCGAGAAGCCAGTTACTGGACCACATGTCCAGCCTGTCCAGGTCTCTTTGCAGTCCTGCCTCATCCTCGTCCGATTTAATTCTTCTCATCAACTTCACATCATCTGCGAACAGGGACACTTCAGAGTCTATTCCTTCCATCATGTCGTTCACATATCAAAAATAGCACTGGTCCTAGAACTGACCCCTGTGGGACCTCGCTCGTGACAGGCGCCCACTGTGATACCTCTTCACGTACCATGACTTGTTGCTGCCTCCCTGTCAGGTATTCCCTTATCCACTGCAGTGCCCTCCCTTTTACATGCGCCTGATCCTCCAGCTTCTGCACTAATCTCTTGTGGGGAACTGTGTCAAAGGCCTTCCTGCAGTTTAGGAAAACGCAATCTACCCACCCCTCTCTCTCGTGTCTTACTTCTGTTACCTTGTCATAAAACTCCAGGAGGTTTGTGATACAAGATTTGCCTTCCATGAACCCATGCTGGTTTTCATTTATAATCTTGTTCCTTTCCAGGTGTTCGACCACTCTCCTCCTGATAATCTTCTCCATAACTTTGCACACAATACATGTCAGAGACACAGGTCTGTAGTTTAGTGCCTCGTTTCTGTTTCCTTTCTTAAATATGGGGACTACATTAGCTGTCTTCCATTTCTCAGGTAGTTGCCCAGTTTCAAGGGATGTGTTGAAGATTGTGGTTAGAGGCACGCACAGCATCTCTGCTCCTTCTCTAAGGACCTATGGGGAGATGTTGTCCGGTCCCATCGCCTTTGAGGTGTCAAGGTCACTTAAGAGCTTCTTCACCTCCTCCTCAGTTGTTCGTATGTCATCCAACACTTGTTGGTATATTCCCTCTTGATGTTCCCTTCTGTGCTGTCACCTCCTCCTCAGTTGTTCGTATGTCATCCAACACTTGTTGGTATATTCCCTCTTGATGTTCCCTTCTGTGCTGTCTTCCCACAGCCCTTCCTGTCTCTACTGTAAAAACTTCCTTATATCTCCTGTTCAGCTCCTCACATACCTCCTGATCATTTCTTGTGAGTTCTCCACCTTCTGTCCTTAATCTGATCACCTGGTCTTTGACTGTTGTCTTCCTCCTGATGTGGCTATACAACAGTTTCGGGTCAGTCTTGATTCTCGATGCTATGTCATTTTCATACTGTCGCTGGGCCTCCCTCCTTACGTGTGCGTACTCATTCCTGGCTCTGCGACTGATCTCCCTATTTTCGTGTGTTCTCTGCCTTCTGTACTTTTTCCATTCTCTATTGCACTTTGTTTTTGCCTCCTTACACCGTCGGGTAAACCAGGGGCTCGTTCTGGTCTTCCCGTTGTTACTGTTGCCCTTGGGAATAAACCTTTCCACTGCCTCCTTGCATTTTGTTGTTACATATTCCATCATTTCATTTACTGGTTGTGAAGGGATTCAGGGAAACTGGTTAGCTGGATTTGAGTTCTAGAGATGGGAAGTACAATGCCTGCACTTTAAGGGAGGCATTAGAGATATTAACTGTTTTGAGGGACGTCTGAACTGTTGTATCTGCACACCTCTGGCACGACAGTGATAGTGTGAATGGTGGTGAAAGTGATTCTTTTCTCGGGTCACCCTGCCTCAGTGGGAGACAGCCATCATGTTTCTTCTTTCAATGTACCGGCCGTATCCCACCGAGGTGTGGTGGCCCAAAAGGAAAAACAAAAGTTTCTCCTTTTACATTTAGTAATATATACAGGAGAAGGGGTTACTAATCCCTTGCTCCTGGCATTTTAGTCGCCTCTTACAACACGCATGGCTTACGGAGGAAGAATTCTGTTCCACTTCCCCATGGAGGTAAGAGGAAATAAACAAGAACTAGAAAGAAAATAGAAGAAAACTGAGAGGGGTGTGTATATGTATGCTTGTACATGTTTGTGTAATGTGTAGCAAGACGTACCTGAAATCTTGCATGTGTATGAGACAAAAAAAAAAAGACACCAACAATCCTACCATCGTGTAAAACAGTTACAGGCTTCTGTTTTACACTCGCTTGGCAGGACGGTAGTACCTCCCTGGGTGGTTGCTGTCTATCAACCTACTACCTAGTAGCCATCATGTTTAAAAATGAAGAATTAGATGCAAAGTTTAGGTTAGTAAGATTCTGTAATAATTGTGCTTTTTCAGAGTTGAGGAATATGAAGATGATGAACATGATGTGTTGCACAAGAGTGTTGCTGGAGCAGCTTCTGGGCCAGACACACCTGTGCGCATCACTGTCCAGTTACCTTGTCTGTCAAATCAAAATTGGCTTGCTCAACAGAAGGAACAAAATTTCAGTTCAGCTGACTCCTCAAAGGTATATATTTTGTGTGCATATTTAATTAAACTTCCATTGAACACAAAACGTCGTTGTGTGTTCATCTACAAAGCTAAAAAAAAAAAAAAAAAAGTCATAGGTAGTACATTATCTTATTGTTAAGTGAAGACTTAAAAAAATATTCTGCTAAGATAAATGCAGAAATAAAACCTATACATTCTTGTGCAAGCTAGTAGGTATTTATTCCCTCTCCCTCCTATTTTATCCTTTGGTATTACTTTACTGTTTTAGTTCTTAGCCCTTTGATACCAAGTAGTATTCATAAACCATTAAATAAATAAATTAAATAAATAAATGGCTTAGGTTAGAGATCTAATGTAAAAATTTGAATATATTTGTAGATCCTGGTATGCGAGATCGAGCCTTTGTTGCTATTGCGTGCATCTATATGTTTGCTTATGGAAACTCTAACAGGCTTTAAAGTAACAGTTCATGTGACTGCTTAATGTTTGAGTATGTAACTCTTCAGAAGAGAGATATAATGCTTATGTATCTTAGTTTCATTTTCAAACAGAATCATGCCTAGTCAAGGTTAGCTATTTCTGTGGTAACTTGAGAATGCCTCTTTGTTTTGACTTGATACTATACCTTTAAATGTTAACAATACTATCACACACATGGCTCCAAGGTACATAAGTGTTTGATTATGACTAGTTAGCTCATTGCTTCACAAGCTACAGACCCTTATGGTTTTAGTACTTAGTTATGATGATAATCCACAACCTACATGATCAGGCCTCTCACAACCCCCTCCATTTATTTTATTTGTTACTTCTCAAAATCTGGGGAAAAGGGATTCCAGTTAAAATGTCCAGCACCTTTATTATTTATTGAGAGTAGACATTTCTTAATAAAAATAATTTGTGCAATTCTTTTGAGATTTGATACATGGCTATAGGGGTTATTGGCATCTGAAGATACCTTTTTCTTTTACAAAGGGATAATTTAGCAGTTGTAGTTTATCAGTTTTACACCTATATTGATTTAGTTTTATTGATGTAGCTGCACCACTTCATTTTTTTCTTGGTATTTTGCTGTACACATGAGATTCAGCAATAGGCATCAGATTTGTTAAATTAGGTTTTCTTTCTTTTATAGGATAACTGCAGTTCACTATCAGTCTGAGCATAGTACATGTAGTTCCATACTTACTCACATGACAAAGATATTTAATTCTGAAAATGCTTCGTGGCTGTTGCAGAAGCAGGACTCTGTTCTGCCAGTACCTACAAAGCGTGCAATGCATGAAGTTCCAGGAGGCAAGTGGCTAAGACTGAAGTCCGGGCCTCCAGTAGCCCAAACTCCACGAATTTAACTTGCCACACATTCCAACATCTGGCTTCTTCATAAGCTCAAAAGTCAGAAAGATAATGAAAAAGATAATATGGATGTGGAGAACAATAATGAAAAGGAAAATAGAATAATGACAATTATCTTCTTTAGAGCCAGAGGCTCTAAAGAAGATAATTGTAGACTCAAACATTGAATCTCAAGGTAGGAGTTCAACTTTCAGAAACATGTCCTCCACAAGTATGGTAAGTGGATACTCTCCCAGTGGGCAGTCTTGGCTGTTATCAAAAAAGCATGTTAACAGTCTACAAATTCAAGACAAAATAGAAGAGATGAGAGCCTCTAACAAAAAGCAATGGTTGAGTTACTCGCCAGGTAAAAGCCCAGTAATAAAAAAGAGTGGAACCCCAAGTCTACCCCATTTACCAGAAGATGTGACGTCAGTGCCACTTGCTGGAATCAATAGCTGCTTATTGAAAAATATTTCTTAAAGATGTTTATAGGATAGACTGATGAAATTTGTTTTATTTTTGTGATTTTTTTTTTAAGTTCTCACTAATGTTATCCACTTTGAAAATATAGTTCTTGGCACAGTGTGAGCTATGAAGTAATGCTTGAAGCCTTATATTGGAACAAGTACAGTGTATATGATTTCGGTATTGAAAAGAAAATTGGACATTTAAATGTAAATATAATAAATTTAACATTATTGGAATACTTACAGGATATATTTCAATAAATATTTTAGATTAACTTGCTAGTATTCTCATGATGCTGTCATAAGAACCTGGTATATAATAGCAACATGCTGTGGTTAGACATGTCTCCCTGCAGTGCTGTGTGACCCTGGTGGGTTTAGTGCTTAGGTTTGATCATAATCATCTCCCTTAAAGCCACTGGTGTCAAAAGTCAAACAACCTTGATCTTTAATCAATTTGGGATATGATAAGCAAATCCTCCTTTGATTTTATGCAGCACTAACCCAACCATATTCTGCAGCCTCCGCAGTTACTTAAAAAAAAAATTAAGAAATGTTCCTTGATGCCAGTGAGTGATTCAAGGAACTAAATCTGCCCTTCCTTACTTGAATCAAACCTGATAAATTCTCACTTCCCCAATTAATACATGATCCCAGTGGTTTTAGTGCTGTGGGGGACCTTAGCTCTTTCCCAATTGAGAGCTTTTTGATTATAATAATAATAATAATCCCAATTGAGAGTCTATTCAGATACAAACATCCTATTTTTCCTGACTGACATGATGCCCTTTGATATTTTGTTTCCACGAACTTCGTGTCCCTTATGTGTAGAATAATCTTCCACATTCATAAGATTAATTTATTTAATCGTCCCCTTTCTACATTTATTACACATGTTTGATTTCCACATTCAACCTCGGGCAATGTCTCTTAAATTTGCCTTCCTCTGGGAAACTTCAGTGTTTTGCATTTACCTGCTCCTATGAAAATTTTTGGCGGTAAAATATTTTCAAACTAATCACTTTTTATTAACCTAATTCTCTTTCCAACTGCAAACTATTTTCACTCGGCACCTCGGTCAGCTATTCATAATCTGCCAATCCCCTACAGGAAAGATCTGGTTTTTGTGCTATTTCCCATACTCTAACAACTCTTAAAAGCTGATACACGTTTATGAATTCAAGGACAAATTGTTTTCCGGCTTTTTATCAAAGTCTGGTGAAAGAAATTACTCTCTCACAATTATGAATCAAACATAAATGGCTTAGGAACACATATCACAAGGAGAGATGTCCGGCACATCTGCAAGGACTCCCAGGCAACTGATGGTTCACCATATATTACTAGACTTCTCTCTCAAAAAGCACTTTGAGTTCACCTTCAACATCTACATCTCCCTGATGCACCAATTCTTGAAATGCCCTCCTCATCAATAGTCCAACCTTCACTGCAAGTTCCCTTTATGATTTAAAATAGAAACTTCTCTATTGCACAAACCATGACATTCATTTGACACTCGCCAGCCCTCACCTCTACTCATCCCTTCCCTCTAGTCCAGTCTATAGTATGACCTATATGGGTTCAGCCCTTGTTTTCATATTCAGGAGGGCCCCGCTTTACAGCGTTTTCGCTAATACAGCAGTTTTCAATTATACCCATTCTTCATTTATTCAGATTTCCTACAAAAATATATTCAATATATGTTAAGTACGAAAATATTTTAAGGTAAGTAATGTATGTACTGTATATGCATTTTTTAAGACTAACTCTATTTCTCACTTAATTTAGGGTATACATGTTATCAGGCTTTTTCATGCATTTGAAAGTGATAAAAAAAAGGCTGTGTAAGTGGGGCCAGTATTAGCCCGGAACCTAACCTGCTGTATAAGTGGGGCCAGTAGTAGCCGTGAACCTAACCTGCTGTACAAGCGGGGCCATCCTGTACTCACCTAGTTGAGGTTGCGGGGGTCGATTCCGAGCTCCTGGCCCCTGTATAAGAGTAATTGTGAATTTAAGCTATGCTGCCCCTCCTCGGGTCCAGCTTGATTACCATCCATTACCTTGGGTCTCAGTTATCCTTATAGGGGGGTCCGGACTAAATTAGTTGTCCACTCGAAGGATGTTCTTGATGGTGGTTAGAGGCTCTTGATCCAAGAAATTGGACTTGTCCTTCCCTTGGATCGAATCTGATTGCCTTCCATTCTGCAGGTGCTTAACAGTACCAATGGAATATATATCTTCCCTTGAATCAAACTTGATTATCAGTCATTGCCAGACACTATCTTCCCCACAAGTTTAGCATGCCACATTTGCCTTTGTTTATAAACACTAGGCATCTCCCACTTCTTCTTTTTAATGTAATACTAATAATAATAATTGACTTAGAGTCTTGAAGGTGGGAAGGGCAGTGCCTGAACTCTGAAAAAGTAAGAGTAGGAATCCGGTTGTCCGAGGCTAGTCTGAATGAATAACAATGAATGTATTTTCTTCTTTGAGTCGCCCTTCCTTGGCTGGAGACAGCTACTGAGTTAAAATAAACAAAAATGGTTTTCCAGGTAATTAATTAGCGGACTCCTGCCGGCGCTCCGCACATCAACATCTTACAGTCGCCCACAGGACAAACCTTCAAACTTTTCTTAGGTAATATATCGGTGTCTTGGGAACTACTGTCAAAGGCTTTGGTCCATGTTAGTAAAGAATCTTTGTATCCACCAAACCATATTTGCATACCTGGTCATCTTCGCTTCAACTGTCAGCTACGAGACTGCTACACGAGGACTGTCAAGTCATAATGATGATAATAATAATAATAATTATTATTATTATTATTATTATTAAACATTATTTCGTTGGCTGTGTCAATAAAGTAATGGTTTACAGTACTGAAGAGGATCCCAGAAGGGGGTCGAAATATACAGATCAATTAATCTCCTGTGTTTCTGTCTCCATGTCCCCTCAAGGAAGGTTCCTTGATGTTGGTGAGGGGCTCTTGATTTAGGGAATTGGATCTGTGCTCCAGTTCCCCGAATTAAGCCTGAATGCCTTCCACATCCCCCCCCCCCAGGCGCTGTATAATCCTCCGGGTTTAGCGCTTCCCCCTTGATTATAATAATAATCTGTCTCCATGTAGGTTATTATTGAACAATGACCGAGTAGTTGAGTTAGACTAATGTGCCCCTCAAGGAAGGTTCCTTGATGCTGGTGAGGGGCTCTTGATCCAAGGCCCCTCAAGGAAGGTTCCTTGATGCTGGTGAGGGGCTCTTGATCCAAGGCCCCTCAAGGAAGGTTCCTTGATGCTGGTGAGGGGCTCTTGATCCAAGGCCCCTCAAGGAAGGTTCCTTGATGCTGGTGAGGGGCTCTTGATCCAAGACCCCTCAAGGAAGGTTCCTTGATGCTGGTGAGGGGCTCTTGATCCAAGGCCCCTCAAGGAAGGTTCCTTGATGCTGGTGAGGGGCTCTTGATCCAAGGCCCCTCAAGGAAGGTTCCTTGATGCTGGTGAGGGGCTCTTGATCCAAGACCCCTCAAGGAAGGTTCCTTGATGCTGGTGAGGGGCTCTTGATCCAAGGCCCCTCAAGGAAGGTTCCTTGATGCTGGTGAGGGGCTCTTGATCCAAGGCCCCTCAAGGAAGGTTCCTTGATGCTGGTGAGGGGCTCTTGATCCAAGACCCCTCAAGGAAGG